TTTAAAAACTACACAGTCATAAATTAAAGCAGTGATTAAATAAGCTCATATAAAATGTAATTAAATTAAAAAATCACAGCACATTATAGAGAAAAATAGGAACCAGTTTCACAAAAAAGAGATTATATATATATTTATATATATTTTTTGTTTGTTTTTACCCTGTGGAAACAAATTTTCTACGAAACACAAAACCTTCATAAGTAACTGTCAAAATGAAAACCATTTTTTACTCCATTCTTGCATTTTTACACAACCCTTAACCCACCTGGGGAACATATCCAGAAATTAAGTCTTCCTTGAGCAACAGAGCAGTTCTGCCAAGAAAATAAACCCCAAACCAAAGGGGAAGGGAAGGGAACATCCCAAACATACAAACTACAAAATAAATAAGAATTATAAAGTTTTTTTTTTAAAGTAACCTTAACAATTATCAAACTAGTAAGTTCTGCCTTATCACATAGACTCTCTATACAACATAACCCTAAAACTTTATTACTATGAGGTATTTGGAGAAATTGGTAAAAGTGATGCACGGCCTGCCTGGTGAAGGGACCCAGGGAAATGGAGAGGACCTCGAGAGGGAACAAGGAGGAGCTTTGGTTTATCAGCAAGAAATTGGGGGTGGGGGGAAGTCATCCTTTGGTATCAAAGAAAGTTTCATTGCATGGTTGCACGGAAAAAGCACCACGGTGAATAATTATTCCTTTTTTTTTTTTTTTTTTTCATTAGTGGCCTTTCTAAGAGGCTGAGGTATTCAAAGAGTATAAGGTGAGAGAGGTTAACAGCGGTTTAACACTTTGGTTCAAGCAAGGCACTCATCCTAGGAGTTTACAAAGTTTGCAACATGTTTGCCTAGAGATTTACAAGAAGAACTAGCAGTAATAAGAGTAGTATTTCCTAACGTTGTTGTTACCGTTACCTTATCATTATTAAGAATGAAGACAAGTTTACACACTGAGTGAAGAGTGAGGAGGGGAGAGGAGGTGGGGGAAGGGTGGGGGCGGAATTCCCTCTGCAGACCAAGGCCGGCATGAAAATATCTTTGGTATTCTTTGGTATCATCAATGTGATTAAAATCACCAATGGAAATTGAGTGAGGTAGCGTCTTTGGTTCACACTATAAATAGTAGATCTTTACACTTTTTTTTTCTTTTTTTTTCTTTTTTTTAACACGTGGAAGTAGCTATTTCTTACCTTCTGCTTCTTTGTCCTTACTATTTAGCAAATAGTTACCAAATGTACTGTAAAGCTAACCACACCACAATAATAATCCAGAAGGCCAAATGTGTCTCAAAACAGCCTCTGGCATTTGAATGCACCCTAAACAACTAGATAGAAAAGGGAGAAGTGCTTTCTCTTTGTTTGCTAGATGCATAGTTTTCATCCTTTATGTACAAAGAAGGGAGGAAGTTCTTGGGAAAAATGTCTTTATAGCTCATGTGAAAATGTCCTAGGACTCTTTGGTATAGCAAAATTTGCATTTAACCTGCAAAAAGTTGGGTTATTCACCTGGGGTAGCAATGGGAGTGGAATGAGTCCAAATGTAGCATAGTGCTTTTACAGTTTCCTGGAAAACTAATTACACTTTTGGGGGGCACAATGAGTGACATGTTCAGTTAGAACTTCTGGACTTCCCCATACATTTTCTTTGGTCTTTGGGGTCTATTCCAGCTGTATCAGGGATTGAACTACTGAGTTCCTGACATCCAGAACTCTCTAACCTGAACATTTACTGTAGTCTGGGTTTTTGTGTTGTCCAGACTTCATACCTCTTGGCCCTCTTTTAGGAAAGCTTCCAATTATGAGAGAACCTGAATGATGTATGTCCAAAAACAAAAAACAGACTAACTTCCATTCTACCAAAAAAAGAAAAAAAAAAGGATCATTTGAAATGCAGTTTTGTTATTTATAAACATACAAATGAAAGAGCAAGATATCTTTTTCAGTTGAATTTTTGCTAAAGGATTCAGAAATGAAAAGTGAACAAATGGCACGTGACCTGCTCTGTTAAATGTGGTAGGTTCAAAAACAGGAGCCATAAATTAATGCCACACTAAGGAGGAATGGAAGCATTTTTTACTACCTGCCAGTTCAGAAACACATAAAGAATCAGTCATACATGATGGGGTAAGTGTATTGCTTGTGAGGAGCTGCTTGTTCATTATGACTTTCTAAAAAGAAAAGGTTGTGTGTATGCTTAAGTAGTTAAGTTAAAAAAAAATTGCTTTTCAGGCTCTGATTTGTGCATCTGTTTATGAGAAAATATATCTCTAGGCCCTGAAATTGCATAATGGGTGCAAATTCAATGCTGGTATGAAAATCATCTTTGGTGTCAGCAAGTAAGATAACTGGTTATTTTTTTTTAAAAAAAAAACATTGTGGTTGGATATTTAATGTGTAGTGATATTCTTTGAGACTGTGTCTACACAGCACCAAAATAATTGGTTGAAAATGCAAAATGCAGTTGGATTAATTTTGAGGGTAGTACAGTAAAAAAGAAAAAAACAACATGGTTGTCTGAATTCAGTTTTTTTTTTTTTTTCCTGGAGTACTAAAATTTGGTAAGATTGTGTGTAGACACAGTTTGAATTTCCCTGCATTTTAAATTCTCATGCTTTAAACAAATAAGGCTTTCCTCCCTCCTAAATTATAAATACATTATATAGCTGTACCCCACCTCCCTCCATTCCTGAAGAGAGAAAATACTATTCATATGTTTCCTTTTTGTTTATGTCCTTGATAAGATTATACTTTTAGTAAATCTTGAAGGGTGGCCATTTAAATAGTCTCTCAACAGCTGAACTATAATTGTGCCATATTTAGAAGGGAAAATTTTAAGCTGAAATTTTGGATGACATTTAAAAAAAATACTAAGACAAAATATGTCAAGGCAAATGTAGTATTCCATTAAAGGAGAAGTACATGTAGTTTCCTTTTCTCAGTCTACAGCAGACTTCAGGAGAGACAGACAGATGGCCTGTTGATTTAGCTTCAGCCCTCCAGGTGCCTGACTGTTTTAAACAGAGATAAGATGCTGAGATTTGATTCTAAGGAGTTAGGTTTTGTGTCAAGATAATTTAATTTTTTTTTCTTCAGCATTTGAAGTGAATCTCAATAAGCAACTCATTGTTAGGATGATAATTTTTAGTTTTATATTTCTAGATAGATGTGGTAATTAACTAAGAGTATCCAATTCTTTACCTAATGGTAGTACAGACCTCTATTTATATAAGTTATGATTCAAGAGACGTTTCTGGGAATCAAGTGATTCACAAGGGTACCACTAGTACAACATTATTATCTTATTATTTTTGCCTTGACTTACATGGCCTCAATTGAGTGATTTGAAGAAACAGAAATTTAAAATTGTATATTTGGAAGCTCAGGCCTAATTTTTAATCTGCCTCTGGAATCTATGTTATAAAATTTCCAGTTTCATGCAGTAGCAAGAAAGAATGTAGTATGCTTTGAAGGCTATGCTTAGTGAAATAAGTTGCATAATACTAATAGAACCAAAAATCTTGTGTTCCATTAGAATTCTGGCTTTCTCTATGCAGTTCCACCAATTCCAACACTTCTCGGTAGCACATACTGTCTTATAGGTGTCCAAGTCATAAAGTGTCTGAGATTGGCAATAAAATCACTATGAATATTTTTTAGGATGATTACAAATTCTTGGACATTCATTTTAATAATAATGTTAGTCTGCTCACCTTATTTATGTTTGTAAAAAAAATTAAAGATATTTGGTACCAAATTCATTAAGCAAATTGAAGTCAAATTAATCTAAGTTCTTTTACTAAAACTCGTCACTTTGGCATGTTCACTTTAGCCACTTTGAACAAAGTTTCTAATTTAGTTGCCCTTGTTAAACTTAGTTTTCTAGTGGTGCAAATGGGGTCCTATTTTAGAAGGATCCTTAAGTTTTCTCAGCTATGTACAGATTATGGTATTGTGTCCATTTTTCTATGTAAGTGACATTTATGAATCCTGGAGAGGAGTGTCCCACCTGGATGTACATGTGTACTGCATCGACCTCTCTGCCATGATATTAATTGCTTCCCTGAAGCTACATTCTTTCTTGCCATTTCTGAAAACTCATATTTCAAATGCTTCAAGAGTCATAAATAATAGCTGTGGATCTATGTGGCATGTGTATTCCAGCGAGATTAGTTCATACGTATAACTTTACATAGTATCTTGTGTAAAAATAGCTTTGGTTATTAAAATCATTGCAATAAAATACCTGAACTATAATATCAAGTGTGTTCTTTGGTACCTAGGTGATTTTTTTTTTTAATGGATGGACTCTTGTTTCATTTCTTAAAAAATATCTGAACATTCCTTAACAAACAAAGAGAATGCACTGGTTTAGGTGTCATTCAAATTTTCCTTGCTGGGTTTGAATCTGCATTTAGGTTGTGAGCCTGGCAGGTTCAAACACTGGGCTAGACGAGCAAAATCACACTCTTAATCCAATGAACTCAGACAACCCCACACCATATTGGTTGCACTCCTACAGCACAACTCTTCCTGAAGACCAGCCCTGCCTAAGTTTTAAACCACTGGTGGTGTACGTGGTGTGTGTGTGTGTGTGTGTGTGTGTGTACGTGTGTGTATGTGTGTGTGTGTACATGCGGGTGTACCCACACACAGTACTGAGACACCATACACCTTCATGGTACAGTGGAACAGATAACGATCTTAAAACTGTCCACACAATGGCTCAAAATCACTATGCTCCAAACCACTAAACAGCCAAGCACAGCGAGAATGATCAGGGATTGAAGGTGTGAGATCCAGTGTTTTCCCACTCATAACTTCTTGCCGAGTCGTCGCCCTGCTGAAGTGTGTGTCTCCGAACAAAGTCAGAATGCAGGTGAGCTAAGTCTTTGGTTTCTTTGGACTATAAATATCACTTTTTTTTTCTTCAAATATTTCTAAGTATAAACCTGCTATCTTGAGGTCCTGGTCTTTAAAAATTTTTTTGTTTTGTTTTTTATTTAAAGCTTTTCCACCGAGGTTTTAGTTTGTGGTTCTTTCTTCATGCTTTGGTACAAGTGCTTGATGAAGAAGATGAGTTGCCTGAATTGGAGCTGCCCTCGTCCTGCCACTTGTCCAGACTCCTCCTCCTTGCGTTCATGAAGAAGTTGCTGACCGTGCTCAGCTCCAACCCCAGCTGCTGGGAAATGGTGATTTGCAATTCTTTGGATGGACGCTTATTTTCCTTGAATATTGCATGTAGAGTTCGACGCTGGACATCTGTGAAGACCAACCTGGGCTTTTTGGGTGTGTTGCCTCTATCTTTCCCATGTTCTTGCTCTTTCCTTTTGCATGCTGCAAAGAAACAGAAGATGTTAGAACAAATTACCTGGGGGATCAGGAATAGAAGGACTGAGCCAATAATTTTTTTTAGCCATTCCTGGTGGCCTGCTTTCTCTCTGCTGAAATCTGATTGAAATGCCACAGAGGGGTCAAAGGAAAGTATAGGAAAAGAACAGAGAACTGGGACAAAGGTAAGGTGTACTGGAATAGCTCTAGCATCTAAGATCTTAGGCATGGGTTCCATCTTTGATGGGTATCTGCTTTTTGACTTATGTATATCAGGTAATTCCATCTGGGCCTCAGATTCCTCATTGTAGAGTACAAACCTCTTAATTAATGAACTGATCACTTTAAACTATGATTTTTCCCTCTGCAGAGTAGATATAAGAATAATTACCTTGCGGGTTATACTATGAAATAACATATAAAAGCTCATGGTAACTGAAATGCTTCACTAATGCAAGGTATTATCAGCAAGAACTGATTTTAAGTAGACCTTAGAGGTTTATGGCCTGCTTTTGGTAGAAGAGCAACAGTCCAACTGAGAGTCTAAAGGAATAAAAACGAATTGCATTTGTTTCCCTGCTGATCTTTTTTCTGTTCCAGGAAACTCTGCAATCAAGATTTTGGGGCAAGGGTTGTGGCTCAGTTGGTAGTTTGCCTAGCACAGATGAGATTCTGAGTTTGATGAGATTCTAGATTTGATTACCCAGAATTGAGAAAGGAAAGAAAAGAAAAGGGAAGGGAAGGGAAAGAAAAGAAAACTCTAGCCATTTTCATTTGGGAGTTTCTCTGTATCCATTTGGCTTCTTGTATAAGTCTTGCTCTTGGAGTCCCCTCCTCCCTTACCTGGTTTTCCATTGAGAGACCTAGTCCTTGTGCCTGCCTTTCTGGTCCTGTATCATGAAGCTTCTTCTTAGATGCTAGAGCTATTCCAGTACACCATTCCAGTGTGGCCCTTGGGCCCCCACAGGTTGGTGCTAGACCAGCATCTTTCTCATCTTTCCAGCCTAATGTGACTCACTGACTTCCTCATGCCAAAGGGAACTAAGGGCTACATTACTCACAACATCCATCCCCCTCCCCATCTCCATTATCAATCAATCCCTAACCATACACCCCAGTAGAAACTGTGCTCTATTCGTGTTGATACAGCTTGAAAACAAGCCTCCTGTGCCCTGACTCCTATCAGACTGTTGCCTTTTGGGCCCCTACATAGGTGCTCTGGAACAGCCACTGCCATCTTCATACTGGCTGGCTACACCTCTCTCTCCAACCATAAGAAGCAGTAGAGCATGTAGACCTCCCTGGGGAGTCAGGATTGCCACTCTCACACCTTGTACCTCTAGTTGGCATCCTTGTCTGCGGCCGCTTCCTTTTTCACCTCACTCTCTGTGTGCTGTGGGTTCTCAGTCCCTGGCTAGTTGTTTCACCAGCTTTGGCTAGATTCGGGCTCTGTGCTTTCTCTAGATGGCTTGCTCCTCTGTCTAAGCCTCTACCTTTCATTCCTAGTTATTCCAGATCCCAGATTTCCAAGTTCCTCTACAACCTAGGTACCTGCCATACAAATTAGTTCTGTAAGAGATCAGCTGATGTGCTAGTAGGTGAAAGCTGAAGAAGCCTCCAATCTTTGGAGTCCAATCAAAAGGTCTCCAATTTTTTTAAAAAATAAAAACAATGTGTTATTTAGTTTTAAAAAATGTTCACAAGGCCAAGGGTGTAGCTCAGTGAAGACATGCTTAAAGTATGTGATGCCTTGAGTTCCATACCAAGCACCTAAAATTTTTTTTTTGAGTATAGACTCCCTTATGTTATTTATAAATTAGACATGTGTTACTATACTACTATATTATGCACATAATAAAATACAGGAATACATAAAATGTAGGAATTTTAAAAGGGGTAACACAGACACGAATAGACATAGGAATTCTCTTCTCCAGATACATCAGCTTGCCCAGGCTCTGGAATGCATTCACCCCACTTAAAAGACCATTGGTCCAATCATTAGTAAATACTAGAGAAAGAGCTTCAGAAGTAAGATTCCCTAAATAGAGTTCTTCCTTCTGGGGCCTGCAGCTCTCACGGAGCAACCAAATTAAGTCCCTGAAAAAAAAAAATGAGTAGATTAAAGTCAACTCGAGTTAGTTTGAGTTAACCCCAGTAGGAGGAGACTGGTACATGATGACCATGGCTGACTAATTCATTCATTCACACTCTATGAATATAATCCAGGCTCAGCTCATAAGAAGGTCTGTCTAGTGGTCATGTAAGCAAATAATTGCAAGCGTATTATTACCTCTCTTTGAGGTTAATAAGAAAGGCATTTCAGAGAAGTTACTAAGATGAGCCCTAAAGGCTAAATGGATGTCTGCTGGTAAGAGAAGTGGGTATCCTTCCCAGCTGAGGAGCAGCATTGGTAAGGGATAGAGCACCATCATGGTATTTGTGGCTTAAGTGTGCATGTGAGGGGAAGAGCCAAGGGAGATAAACTTCCATCAGACAGATCATATTTGAATCATCTTGTGGGTAAGGAGGAGTTACTGAAAGGAGGTAATGTGATTAAGTTTGGGATCAGAAAACCCTTCTGGTGGTGTTGTGGGGGACAACCTAGAAAGCAGCAAGACATTGTGGTGAATGATGTCCTATTCTACTCTGCTTCCTTTGAAGGCTGAGGCCCTCATACCTGGTTGCTGGTGACTCTCAGCTGAGATCCCTGGGTTGGGATGGGTGCTGCTCACATCCAGTGGCAGGTGGGAGCAGTAGGAGATGGTAGGGTGAGTGGTGGTGGTTAAGGAGAGTGGAATTTGTTACTTTAAGGTCCCCTCACCTCAACCCCTTACATCAAGTTTGGATAAGTTGTAAGGGTCATACAGTTCCAGAGCACTCTGGAGGACTGGTTGAAGTTATTCTTGCAACTACAGTGCAGTTCAACTTACTTTCTCCACTCCTCACAAAGGTATTAATTTCTCTCGCATGCACTCTCCAACAACCTTCCCACGGAAATCTCAGAAACTTAAAGTTTGCTTCCCTGAAAGCCCGACCTAAGATAGAAGACAGAAAACTGCAGTAATGAGTACCCCAAATTAGACAATGGCAGTTGAGGACAGAGAAGCCCTTCTTAGGAGATAGAATTGAGAGGAATAATAACTTGGCTGTGATGGTAGAGTTTAGAACATCTCCCCGTGTCTGGTTGGAGGGAAGTGTTGGGACCTTTGGGAATGCAGAGATGCATTTTATGAGGGCAGCAATTACTTCTATATCGGATGAAATGTACTGGAAGTGCTTGCAGGACATTCTGTTAAAGATCTTCAATAGGTGGTCATCCAGCAGATAGTAGGATGAATGGGGTTTGGAGCTCAGGGGAGAAGTCTGGGCTAGAAATATAGACTTGGACATCATTAGGGCTCTAGATGATAAATTACACAACATGCACCTATGGAAAAATAAATAACAGTGTTGGTTGAAGCCTGGACTTATCTATCATTCAAAAGGAAGAGCTAAGGGAAATCACATAGATCCATTTTCTACCTAACCAGATGTACTTTTAAAGGACTCCAGTCTGGTCTCAGTGCTTAGCAGGATTGAGGGGGCTAAGGCTACCCTGGAGCCAGCATTTCCCAAATAGCATCAGAGGAATGATGGGTCTCTAGCAAAGGTTCTGTGAAAAGATGGTTTGCAGATCAAGAAATTCAGAGAAAACTATTAAAACTGTTAAATACAGCCTCTTCCTCAAAATTCATAATGTGTGTTAAAGCACACCCCATATATATATATATATATATATATATATATATATATATATATATTTTTTTTTTTTTTTTTTTGCAGATAACATTGACTAATGTATTATATGGTACTAAGGCTGGGGGACTCAGTTTGGAAGTTCCTGTCCTATGATCTCAAGCACTGTAGCTACTACAATGCCAAAACCTGGAAAGCAAGATTTTGTTGGAGCAGGGACCTGGCTGACTAGTTTTCAGTTTCCAGGCCATCCTAAATAGTGCAGGTTGAAGAGAAACTTACAGCCCATGTGGGGATTGAGGGTTGTGTCTATGAATAAATGGATGCAGTTATATCTGGAGAGAACTCTGCAGAAGTTGGAGAGAAGGCAGAGATAGCAGTAGAGTGGAGAATCGACTAAACCTTGTTGAGGATTCCCTGTGACCAGAGGAGGTGAGGAAGAGCAACCTATAGAAATGAAGTCATACTTCTAGAAGCTTTCACAGGACTGTAACTGTTAGAACCTTTGAGAGCATATGAATGGCATTCATGTTTTGGAATGTTTGAGGAATGCATTTTGGGGTAGAGATTATCCATCATAAGGGAGAAAGCCATCAACTGGAGGTTGGAGGGTCTACACACATGTGCGGGGTGGAGAGATAAAGAGTAAAGTGAAAGTGGGAAAGAACAAGCACTGATGCTGAGGGAATAGCAATGCAAGTATTTTAGGTGACAGTAGTGTTTTCTGTATGGATATATAGTTTCCATTAAAAAGAGAGAAATATTTATCATAGAACTGGATTTACTGTGAAAGGTAGTACCGAAGATGAAGAAGATCCATCATGAATCACCTCCATGAAGGTGGGCAAGCAGGTATATTTGCAAGATTCAGCGGCCAATTATAGTGGCAGTGTCTCAGACAGACAGGTGATTTTTGATCTCTATGTGTAAGGTCGCCTCCCATTGCAAGTGCCATGAAGCAGGATGAAGCAGACCTGGAAGATGGTAAAAGTCAGAGAATGTGCCCAACAGAAGTAAAAGGTGATAATAAAGAAAAAAAAATTTAAAAAAGAGCATGAGGACATGGGCAAGGACAGAAGCTTCTATTTCAGGCATGCCTGGGGACTTGCTCTGCCTATAATAGGCAAGGCAGAACCAAGTGTGTTTCAAGAAATGGATGCAGTTATGTTTGGGGGATGAATCTGCAGGATGTTAAAAGGTACTCTGTGAACAATGAGTTATGAGGTCAAATCAGTTAATAATTACACAAGCTTCTTTAATGCAGGACT